AACCACTCTCGTTCTCAAACTGCAATGCGGACATTAAAGTGCAGTATTTTTCAATTAGAGCTGACGAATTCAATCAAAATTCCATAGATTAGGATGAAATGAGGCATGGGTCATTTACAGGAGAATTTAATTGCCGAGCCATTAGACAAATAGTATATTTGCCATTCCCGCGTTATCCATCATTTTCGACATCAATACCGGGGCCGCATCTCCCCGTCCCGCAGCCGCCCGGCGTCGGCTGTAAACACTCCCTTCCCTGTATCTTCTGATTATATCTGATTTCATTTAGGGCCATGGGGGATTATAAATGTTCACGCAATCAAGTTCATTAGGGCTTCAAATCGCATTTCTGATTGGGATCGCTCTGCCGCTGTCCTCGGTGCGCCTTTCAAACCCCAGGACGAGGCTTTCAAAAACATCTTTTTGAATTTAAAGCTTCACAGCCTTTTGTCTTCCGACGCCCCCTCCTGCCTCCCCCGCCGCCGCCGCCACCCCGGGAGGCCCCGCGCGCCTCTGGCCTCCTTCGCGGGGCTCGGCACTGAACCCCATGGCCCTGAGAGCGGGGCTGGGAGGGTGGGGCTGGATCCCCGCGCCCCCCAGGCCCGCTGGGAGGGGGGCTCCGCGGGCTGCCCTGAGCAGGCCGTTCCCCTCCCCCCAACCCCAAGAACCCCCTGCTGGGCCGCGAACCCCCGCGCGGCGCGAAGCATCTGGAGACCCCGCGTGTTCGCGAATCGCGGGTGGGTGCCGGCCCCACATTCCCCGCCCACGGCCTGGCACTCTTGAGTCCCGTGGCCGTCCGCAGGCCTCTGGGCAGCGATTGGGCCAGACCCTAGGACTGACACCTGGGATCCCTTTCCGGGCTGGCCCCTTTCACTCTAGAGACTAGGGTGGGGGCGGTACCCAGAGGAGCAATTCTCTCTTCCTCTTTGCAAACCCAAGAAACAAAGGGAGCAGACTCTTCTGGAGAGAGATGCGCAAGAAAGGCTCAAGACATCCCTTCCAGCACCGTTGAAAAATAATAGCTTAATATTAACTGCTTCTCATAAAAATATACTTTCACAGTTACCAGAAGAAAACCCTCATTTTACCCCCGTACTTTGTGCTCATCGCTGTTAGCTGCCTCAGTAATTTAATTGGAAGGAAACGTGAGAAATGTGTCATTTTTGAAGAATTTATGCATCACTTCCTAGAAATCTCATTGTGTTAACTAGGAGCCTACTGCGTTCTGTTTAGAAGCCATAATCACATTTTTATGTGTCTGTATTACGAGTTAATGTGACCTCCTGTCTTTAGCAGATAAAAAAAATGTTCTTTTTCCATAACATCTGCATCAAACTCTGGCTTGCATAAAGTACGCAGATACCCGGTTTCCCCACGTTTTCCAGACTTACCAACTTTCTTTGGAGCAGGGAAAAGAAATGTGGCCGCAGAAAGCGTCTACCAAATGAATAATTACACCCCGAATTAAAACCCTGCGTTAAACATAGTCGACAGCAAATACTGCATTCTCAATCGTGTTTATTGCTTACAAACTGCATTACAAAGAAATTTACTCTTTTTATTGGAGTGATTAAGCAGAGTGTTAAGGCTGCAGAAATACCATTCTGGAAGATTAGATGAAGGCAGAAAAGCCAGCTAGTTACATTGCAGTGGTGAATGTATAATTTTGCTAAAGAACACGTTTAACACACAAATGAGGATTGGGCTGTCATTATGGCATCATAAAAGAGTCAGCTGAAAATTATATTTATTTATAAACACATTGCCTATAAAATGCGCATATTTAATACAAAGGAAGTAGGCAATTCCATAATCAATATTTTAATTACTGAATTCTTTATTATAGCAACACAATTCTATAGGATACGTCATGATTCTATAGTTTTTCTATGCTCTCCTCCCCTTTATCATGGGAGCTAAAATCTCGTTTTCTCTTTAATTCTGGGAGAGCAGGGCGGCGGGCAGGGTAAGATCGTTTGCGTATGGCGCCACCTGCAGGACTCTCTGAAAATGAATTATTTCAATACGGTGATCCGCCTGCCTGGCTCTAGAAATTGACCTCAGGCTTATTTTAGCAATTTAAAGAAATTAATTTTGGTTTTGAAATAGAAAACGGTTGACAATTTCAAGATAAGTCCTGGAGTTTGAAAAGTGTTTTGATGGCTCTCAACATATACTTAAATCCCCCCAAATAAGATGCGGTATTGATCCTAATGGAAACTTCGGAGCTTCTGAATATCCCAAGGGAACATAGAAAATTTGCCTGAGGAGTAATTTATTCTTGAAATAATGGAATAAAAGATGCACTACTCCTGGCTTATCACTTGGTCCTTGGGCAGCCCTTACGACATGAAAAGCACTTGGCAAGCTGATGACATCCGCAATTACAGTGATTAAGCATCCTCTCAGATGCCCCGCATCAGGACCAGTCACTGGAGCAGACCAGCTCATTCTCCAAGCCTATATTTTATAGCATTTTTGTAGAGGGTTAAGTGTTCTCTGCAAAAGTTCAACAGCCGGGCCCATCACCGTGTGTCTAAAGGGTTATTTAGGACATTGAAAATGTGACGATTATATACAGTTCCTGGGGTTAACAAATGCTTCCTGAAGACTCAGTGGTTTTGATTTTCTTCAAAACATGCTGAAGTGATGATTATCACGGAACTGAAAGTTAAACGGACACAAATACACTAGATGTATAAGCCCAGTGCTGCGTTCAGAATTGCAAACATGACACGTCACCTGATGCCACGTCCGGGTGCTGATTGTCTGTGGGCTGTGGAGCATGTCTGTCTATCCTGCTGTGCTGTGCACATTTCATCCTGGATTCAAGTTAGGCAGGATGGAAAGAGGCAAAGCACCTCAGGACCATTGTTGGTGGAGAAACACACTTGTGTATCTTTGGATTCTCTGTGGTCAGATAACAAGGAGCAGAGTCAATAAAGTTGGAGGGAAAATATTCCTCCTCATCTTTTTTCAGCAGAAACAGCATTTACCCTTTGTTACTTTCTGAATTTTGAGCCATGTGGATGCTTCTCATTAAAAACTAAATTTGAAATTTACGAAAACAATTTAGGTCTTATGGAATTGAGTTTTTATAATATACTCAAAGAGAAAAGTAATGATGTCCAATGCAAATCATGTTAGAACGGAAAACGTTTTTAGACCCTTTAATAAAAAAATTGCCAGAGTAGGGTCTGGCCCAGTAGCATAGTGGTTAAGTTTGCATGCTCCACTTTGGCAGCTCGGGGGTTTGGTGGTTGGGATCCCGGGCACAGATCTACATATCACTCATCAAGCAATGCTGTGGCAGCATCGCACATACAAAACAGAGGAAGACGGGCACAGATGTTAGCTGAGGGCCAATCTTCCCCACCAAAAGAAAAGAAAAAAAATTGACCAGGGTATATTTTGTTTACTGGAAAAGAAGTCAGCCAGGATAATTCTAGCCTCAAAGTAGAATGTCTTTTTGGGTGTTTATCTCAACTTACTCTCTCCCTTCCTCACTTCTGTCTTCAGTCTTGTCCTCCCCCCCCTCCACTCCTGCTCCTCCTCTTCCTCCTTCTTATCCATGTGGAATTACGCAAATCCCCTTAACCTCAGAACTTCCTAACACATGTAGCATAGAGCACAGCTAGACACAGTCCCTGAAAGAACAAATTTTTTGCTTAACAAAGCAAATCGCCAGCAGTAATTAAATTCTGCAAAACTATGAATGAAGTGCATCCCCTTTGATGATTAAGATAGGCCCAAACAGTCACACTCGCCATTTTTGTCCCATTGCAGTCACAGCCATAATTCAAGAACTGTATTTAGCACATCTGGACAGCCACTAGGACCCAGGTGATTCAGGACTAATTTCTAGTGTCAGTTTATTACCTACTTATTCTGGAGCAGCTGCGAGGTCATGTTCCTGATGAGTCAGCAGCAGCGTGAAGGGCTCCTGACATCTTAGATGGTTCAGTTCATTGCTGTGTTCCCGTTGCACGTGGGTCCGTGTTGGCCAAGAGTACTGGACTGGAGCTACTGGACACATGTCACACGGGACTGGCTGGTGGGGCAGGCGCTCATCGTAGGAGTCACATGATCGCGTGTAGGATGCAGAGATGAGAGCAGCTGCTAAGTGCCCAAACTGCCACCTGCCCTGGGAACAGGCAGCCCCCATTCCAGGAAGAGACGACCCCAGGGAGAAAGTGGCCAAGACGGGAGCCCTTCCTGCCCACATCTGTCCTGGTGTGCCCAAGTCCCTCCAGCAGCCGCCCCAGCAGGCTCCACCAGGGTTGGTTAAAGGGAAGAACAAACGAGTGAATGGTGAATCGATGAGTGAGCCGTTTAAACCTATGGGACTTCATGGATTGGCTCTTCCTGGGAGCATCTGAATTACAAAAGAAAATTCCTGGGAGTAGAAATAATGAATAATAAAGAAAGAATTCCTCCATAATGGTGGGATTTCAGGCGGCTGTGAGAACCACGTTGTGTTTAAGTTATAATTGGGGGAAAAACGTGTTTTGGGAAACCTAATCATGGTCATTATTCATCAGATTTTTAGAAATATAAAGTCCATATGTTTTCAAAGAGTTGTACTTTGTTCCAGGACTCCAAAACATTATTAAAATTTAATGCATTTTAGAAATGCAACCAGTCTGTTTTCTAAGGTGGGTGGGATGGAGAGGCATGGCTGGACGACATGCTGTAGGCAAGTGTGTTCGCTCGGATTCTAATTTGCAAAACCTAGTGAGGACAGGGCTCCTCCGTGGCTGCTGTGGCTGTATTTCTCACCACTCTTACCTTTCTTCTGTTTTTTTTCTTTGGTGAGGAAGATTGGTCCTGAGCTAACATCTGCTGCTAATCTTCCTCTTTTTTGTTTGAGGAACATTGTTGCTGAGCTAATATCTGTGCCACTCTTTCTCTATTTTGTATGTGGGATGCCACCACAGCGTGGCTTGATGAGCGGTGTGTAGGTCTGTATCTGGGATCCGAACCTGCGAACCCCGGGGCCACCAAAGCAGGGCACATAAACTTAACCACTCTGCCACTGGGCCAGCCCCCATTCTTCCCTTTCTTATTTGTCCTTGGTAATACCATTGCTTTGCTTTTCCATTTTTTACCCTTTTTATTCCAATATTAGGCTATTTTCCTCTTCTAATAATGAAACAATCATGAGAATAGAAGGAACCATTTATTGAGTTCTGTCTCTGGGCTGGCTCTGGGCCTGGGGCTTTGCCATCTCTGAGTTTGGTGGGGTCAGAGACCAGGGTAAACAACCACCCCAGTCACCCCAGCTTGTCAGTACCATTCAAGTTCGCAGACTCACAGAATCGGGGCCCCCCCCCAGACTCTGGTGCTGGAATCTGTATTTCAACAAGGTCCCTTTAGCGTGAAGCCCTGCCTTACATCAGTTAGCTCACTGAGTCCTGACCCCGTGAGAGAGGCGAAGATGATTTCACTCTCCCGATGGGCAGCTCTCTGCTGATGTCGAGTGACGGTTCTTGCTCAGTGGAGGAGCCAGGATGTGAAGCCCCATCTCCAGGGTGTCGCCAAGGGCTCCTCCCCGCCCTCCAGTGTGTTGCATCCCTTTCCAGGACAAAGGACTCTCCATAGAGCCCCATCTGACTACATCTGCCCGCCTGGCTCCTCACAGCTCATCCAGTGAAGTCCAGCATCCCGGGTGTGGAAGCCGAGACCCTCCTGATCCACCTCCTTCCAGCTGTCACACGGGGACCCTCCTCTCCAGGTGGACAGGTCACTCTTTCTCCACTGTGCCCTGCACTTTCCTGCCTTCACTCAAGTTCTTTTGATCCAGTGGTGGCTCCTGAAGGTCTGTTTGGGGGGGCTTGAGGAGAGCCATCAGCCTGGGGTGGGGGTGGGAGGGGTCCTGAAGCTGTGTTTATGTGGCCTCTCTAGGTCAGCTGAGCTGTCCATCTCAAAGGGCAGGATAGGGCTGGGTCAGCTGAAGGCAGTGGAGGTGGATGTTGAAATCTGAGTTGAAATCTGACCACTCACCAAGGTTCAGCCTGACTGCCCATTCACATGCCCACCCTCACTGGGTGGGCCCTTCCTGGCCCCCTTTCACCCCCACAGTGGGCTTCGCTCATGGTGCACACAACATCCCCCCTTATCCTGCTATCATCGGCAGGATGTGAACCCCGTTCCAGATGCTGCAATGGGAGAGCGTGCCCTGCCCCCTCTGAGGCTCGCCTGGCAGCACCTTGCACTGGCTCAAAATGGAAAAAATGGAGCCACTGCTCATCCTCAGAGGATGACCATAAAGGGTCCTTGTTCTAAAATATGGTGTTGAGTAGAAAATTTGAGGTCGAGTAAGGCCAACAGATCAGGAGATGACTGCCATTGAAAAGAGAGTTTATTACTCACCATTCCTGAGAGAAGGGACACGCCACGCCTCAGGGGCCACGTGGGGAAGCACCAGGGTTGGTCAGGAGGTGGAGGAGGGGATGTGGGCAGGAGCTTTACCATGGTTTCCGTGGAAGGAACGGTCGAGGCAGGGTAGACAGGCTTAGGGTTGGCTAGTTTGAATAATTTCAGGGGGATCTGGGGCAGAGGGGCTGTCCCCAGTGTCTGGCACGTGGCCCTGGGTTGGACTGTCGCCCAGAGTGTGAAAGCCCAACAAAGGAGGCGGCTGGGATGAGCTCTGCATTGATTGGTTGAAAAGCACCGCTGGGGGCGAGTTGTTGACTATCCCCAGGGATTGGCTCACCCTGGGAGGGGCCGGCCCTCCAGCGTCAGCAAGGCCCCAGAGTCAAAGCACCAGAAGAGAGAAAATAGAAGACATGGTTTACATAGTCCTAGACCTTTCGAACATCTCTCTTGTTATGGATGCTCGGCTGAGCTGATGGCAACCTCTGTCAACTTGTGTCTACTCCTGGCATCTGGCTGCCTGGACTATTTGCCGGAGCTGGATCAGCTGGGGTCTGCTGAGGGGGTCAGACAGCAGACTCATGTAGGATCAGAATGTCCATCTCACCACCCCGCCATCATCCTCTAGGAGCTCTGGACGGTCTTGTGCTGGAAGCACCAGTGGGCTCCTGGGGAGGCGCTCTTGTTATGCAAGCAGGTGCCCTCTCTAAACGTGTACATCTGTCATGTGTTGGGGACAGTCTTTCCAGGTGGCCGAGCTCTAGAAGGGGTGGGACGTTTCCCATGAGGCAGAGGGTCTGAGGCTGGCGGGCAGCATGCACGTTGCTAACCCACTGGGGGTGGGAGACAAACCTTGAAAAAAATACTTCTACCTTTTAGTTCAACTTTTGTTGGAAGGTGCTTTCTGATACAAGACTAGGATAGTCACAGTTTCCATCCTCACGAGCAACGTGGAGAGGCAGAAAGGGCTTTTATTACCAGTTCCATCCCGAGGTGAACCTGAAGCTTGGCGAGGTCTGTGCATCCGCCAGGCAGAGTGGGACGTCCCACCCTCGGCGCTCTCCTCGCCACGCAGCCCCCACGGAAAGAAAAGATGAGGACTCGAGCCTTAGTCCAAATGCTCTGGTTTTCAATGCAAAACACCTTCTGGCTCCAAAAGGAGATAATTTTGCAGGGACTTCGGCAATGGGAGCAGGGGTATGAAGTAAAAGCAATTTTTGCCAAACAATTTCCGGATGGCACAGCGGCAGAGATGCTGCAGACAGCGCGGGGTGTGGGCCAACGCAAAGAAGGACTTGTAGAAAGGCTGGTGCATCTGAAAGGAAGGTGGGTGGGACATCAGCCCGTGCACGTGGAACTAACAGACCTTTCTTTCCTAGCAGAAGACCCCATACCACACAGTTGATCCTTTCCAGGCCACCTGGTACCAGACAGGACCCCAATACAGGGAGAAGCACCGTCTGTTCAAAGCCCCCTCCACCAAGAGAGTCTGTACACTTTTCTAAAGAGCAGCTCCTGCTGAGTCTAGGGAAACTCTGTTTTGGGTGATTTCAGAGAATACAGGTCATCTCCTTGAATTCTGCTCTGCCCTGTTCCCTGGGCACAGCCCATATGCTATTCAGTAATGTGCATGGGACTCAAGTCAATGAAACCCGAGGGGAAATCTTCTAGAGGCTTCCAGAAAAAACACATGTTCTCTCTTTCTCAATCGATAGCCACGGTGGACTCTGTCGTGTACAGCTGTAGGGCCCGCAGCTGCCTGGTGATATCTTAAGCTCTAAGCAGATGAAGGACACACAGGAGCCAGAACCTCTGCCGCCCACCCGTCTCTGGACACTGGTTCCTCGAGCCCTGACATTCCTCAAGCCAGTGGGAGTCAGTCTTCTGCAGCCAATAGCATCCCAGCTCTCATAAAAGGCTTTTGGCTGACTGATTACTGAGCCTCTAGGAGAAAACCAGAAAAACTCAAACACGCCCCCCATTTCCCCTTCTCTCTCCTTCTTCAGATGGTTTATACTCACCTGGATGTTTGTGCAGAACGCCACCCAGGGGTAGGCAGAGACAGACAACAATTCTGTACTCAAGGCGGGAGGAAGAGCCGTTTCCTTACCTCAAACACTTCTTCAGGAATCGCCTCCTTCCAGGACTCCGACACGCGGAGCTGAGGGTAAGAGTTGAAAAGGACCTCGACGACTTCAGGCGCGGATGCGCAGGTCTTCAGCACCTGGTGGGAGATGGGGAGACTGGGCTGGCAGACTGGGTTTTGGGTCCGTGCGGGGAAAGAATGGGGAGATGTGAGGGTGTGTCTGCATCCCACTTCCACCACTCCCCACGCCTCGGTCACAAAGGGAACAGGAGCAATCACAGTAACAGTACAGCAGGCTTGTTCAAGGACCACAGCGGTTAGTTCACAGATGAGCACAAGGCAGCAAGGGGCCCATCTTATCCTCATGGCAAGTCTGGGCAAGGCGCTAAGCGTTCAAATTCCCAGGAGGAATATTTCTGGCTTGGCACACTCTCTTGGCCTCTGGAGAGCTGCTCAGAGAAAAGGAATGAGGTTCTGCTGGGAGGAAGTTTGGCCAAGGATGGTGTTCCCAATTTCTTACCTCAGTTTTCTAATATGTCAGGAAATTGGGGGAGAAGAATTGCTTGGCCGTTGAATTTCCTCTCAACTTTGCCTTTCCATTTTATTTTCATAGTGCCCACTGGCAAAGGATTCCTATTTCCTTATTTGTCAATTTATAATTCAAGTCCATTGGCTTCATCATAAAGATGGGAACTATTCGCTTTTTAAAAATAAACTTTTTGTTATGGAGAAATCTGAATGTACGCAAAAGTAGACAAATGGCATGATAAGGCCCCAGGTACCCACGTTCCACCCATGGCCAGTCCTGCCCCGTCCACACCCCCATCCCCTCCTGCTAATATTATTTTAAAGAAAATTCAATGTATCCTATCATTTCATCTGTAACTATTTCAGTGTGTCTCTTAAAGGAGCCTTTAGAAGAAACATAAACAGTGTTATCATAACAGCTGAGAAATTAACAACAGTTCTAGCATCATCTAATTTATAGTCAGTGCTGAAATTCACAGATTTCTCTTAAACGCCGTTATGCTAGAAAAAATAATTTGTTTGAATAGGAATCCAAATAAGGCCAGCACGGTGAGATTGGTTGAGATGACGTATTTTTAGATCCCTCTTTTTTGTTTCATGTGATGTACTTGTTAAACCGGGTTATTTGTCCTGTGGAGTTTCCCACTGTTGGGATTTTCCTGACTGTATCCTGGGGGGTTTTTGAACACGCTGCCCTTTCTCTGCTTTCTGTCAATGAGCAGTTGGATTTAGAAGCTTGATCAAATTCAGAATTGATCTGGGGGAGGGGCGGGGCAATGTCACAGTTCTCTGCTTTTAAGATTTACCAAGTGTTGTAAAATTGTTCTTCTTATTTCTTGGTTGAGAAAACTGAGGTTAAGCAATTTTTCTAAGATGAGGCACCGAATATCTACAGGAGACCACGGTCGGGGCCAATAGCTAAGCCCAAGCCGAGCATGCTCCCTGGGGCTCCCTGAACACAGAGCCAGACAGAAAAAAGTATTGAAATCACTCAATATGATCACTTCCTTTACAACTTGCCTAGCTTCTTTCATACCTAAAACTCCTTTAAAATACAGAAAAGAGAAATAAAAAATTTATAGTTCTTTGTTCAGAGATAACCACTATTAACATTTTGTGTGCACTGTTTTATGCATTTAGACAAAAAATTAATATGTATAACAAAAAGGGTTGATGCTGTGCATATTATTTTGAAACGATTTTTGTCCATTCAAAATAGATTGTGAACAATTCGAAAATTATAAATGAGCATTTAACATCATTTTTAGTGGCCATATTTTATTTTATGAATATATCATAATGTATTCAATGAATTAGCTATTTAAGTTGCCTCAATATTTTTTGATATTTTAAACAATGAGTATCCTTGAACATAATTCTATCTCCTTCTGCCTCTGACCACTCTTATTTAGATACTGACACTGAATTCCTGGAAGTAGAATTGCAGGCTCAAAGAGGATGTACATTATAACTTTTAAAACATACTGTCAAATTTTAAGTGTGTAAATTGGTACACTTTTTGAAGAATTGAGTATGAGAGTGTCTCTTTCACCCCACCCAAAGCATCTCATTAGTTGTTTAAATTTGACAGGTAATATATGCAATATTCACTTTTGTTTTGGTTGACCGTATGTCTTTCTTCTTTAGAGAATTGCTAAATTATGTGTTTTGCTCATTTTTTCTATATTCTGTTCTTTTTTTCATTGATTTGTAAGTACACTATTTATTAAGGTGGTTTTTCACGTAGACAATCATTTTTGCAAACAGTATTGTCTCCTCAATATTAATATTCATTTTTCTTGTCTTATTACATTGATTAGAGCTTTAAAAATCAATGTTAAATAACAGTGTTCATGGCAGCCATCATCATCTTATTCCTAATATTAATAGGATTGTCTCTAATGTTTTATCAAAAATATAATCTTGGATATTAGTTTCATCAGATACTCTGTTCTAAGTTAAGAAAATATCTTTCTATTCCTAGGTTACTACAAATTTTAGGATTTAATTTTATTTTTTTGCCTTTTTCTAACCAAGTTGATACAAAAAGATTTTCCAATATTGACTCATTTTTGCCTTCATGAAACAGACTCTATTTGGCTATTCTTCTAAATACAATGGCAGATTCAATTTGCTAAGATTTTTGCATCACTTTTAATAACTAAATTTGGTTTATAGTTTTAGTTTTTCGAGCTATTATTGTCAGGTTTTAATATCCCTTTATGTTAACTTAGTAAAACTATCTGAGAAAATGTCTATCTTTTCAATACTCTGGAAGATTTTAAAAAGTAGATAACTATTGAAATTAAGAAGGCAGAATAGATCTTGATTTGACATCATCTAAGCCTGGCCTTTAGCTGCAGGTAATAATTTGATATTTGCAATTTCTTCCACGGTTACTGGCATATTTGGTTTTGACTTCTTCTTGAATCAACTTTGTTAATCTATATTTTCCTGGAAAACAATCTTCATTTTAAAGAAATTTAGCTTTGTGTATGTATCAGTCAGGGTTCCAATAGGAAACAGACGCACCTTCGATATAGCATTATTGCAGAGGGTTTACTGATACAGGGGCTATTCAGCCAGCTGTAAGTGCAGGGGGACTCCAGGGGACAGTGGGGCTCATAGCAGAGCCATTTCCACTCCTGCACCTGCAGGATGGAGAGTCAGGGGGGCTGTCTTACCAGGAGCAGTGATCCTCGGTGGGGGCCAGCATGAAGCAGAGAGGGGCCAAGCAAATACATCCTCTGACCTCACTCTCTTTCCTTCCCCTGCTTCTGGGAGACTGCACTGGCGAAACCCAGGAAGGCAGAAGCCTTGTGGATGTGTCCATGCACGTGAAGAGTAAATCTGGATGGGAGACATGGCCACTGTATCTAGGAATAAGCACCCTTCTCATTTGAAACTCACTGTAATTGTATTCTCAATTTTTTTTCATGTTTAGTCTTACTGGAATTTTGTCTATTTTAATCATTTTTTTTAAAAAGGAATCAGCTATTGGATTTTGCTGATCAGTTCTCTTTAAAAATATTCTAATCCATTAACTTTTGCCTTTATCCTTATTAATGCCTTTCTCCGGGATTATTAATCCCAGATGATTAATCTTTGTTTCTCTTTCCAACTCCTTGGATTGACTGCTCAGGTAATTTAGTAACACTTTTTTCCTGGAGTCATAATAAAAGCCACTTTTAAAATGGCATGGATTTTCCTTTGAACGGAGGTGTGGTCACAGCCATAAGTTTTGAGGCACAGTCTCAAAACTTCTCATTGTCTTTTTCTCTAAAATAGTCTGCAATTAAGTAACTATTGGTGCTTTAGTTATTTAGGTGTGTGCTATGCAATTTTCAAAAGGTTATTTTTAAAATGAACCTTTTGCTCCTCATTTTCTAGTGTGCTGCAGTAAGGATTCAAATGATGTTGCTTTTGGAGCACTACAAGTTGCATTCTGTTCACAGGATACAAAGTTCAACGTGTATTTGCACATTTATGACTTGAAGCTTCAATGCATTATTTTTTTGGCCCACTTGATCTGTGAAAGACTGAGAAATACATTAAAAATCGCCTACAATTATTATTTTTCAGTCAGTTTCTCTATTTTAACATAATCACGGGTCCATAATAGTCATCTCTTCCCGATGGACTGTGTCCTTTGTCACTGTCAAATAAATCCTTTCTTCCCTCATCATGCACATTTCTCTGGAATTCTTCTCTGTTGCTTGCTGATGTCAACACATCATTGGATTTTTAGTTTGTTTTTGCTAGAATTACCTCTGCCCACTCTTTATTTTTAACCTTTTGTTTCACTCCATTTTAAAGCATTTGAGAGTCTGTACTGGTAATACACTAGTTTAAGAAATTTATATTTATTGCTATAAATGATCTATTTGGTCTTACTTCTATCTCATTATGTTCTTTCTGATTTTTTATGCTTGCTTCCTTTGTTGTCTGATTTCTGATACATAGGTTTCTATTTTCTTTGTGTACATCTTTTATATTTTGGAAGTATGCATCTTACTTAAAATCTGACTACTAGTTACCTTCAAAATAAAAAATATTAACCTGCATTTCTCCAAATATCTAAATAGCACCTTTTGCGTTCTAGATGTGCCATCATCTCTTCTCTCACATCTCTCACAACCAATTCTTCTTCCTCCTTAAAAACATCTGGAGTTTGGGTTCCAGATTATGGATTATTACAAGACCATATTTCATGTTAGAAATAATTTTTGGTATCTGCATTTAGTTTTATTGCCTGCCTTACAATTATCTGTCTCTATTTTAACGGGATCATACACTCACCATTTGTCCTTTCAGCCATTCATTCCACAGATATTTATCAAACGCCTACTAGAAGTCAGGGATTGTGTTATGTCTGCGTGATACAATGGCAAGCTCTGTCTTCACAGAATTTTACAGTCTCAAATAATACAGTTCCAAATAGTAATAATAGTAGATGGGGGAATCACAAGGTGCTGGCAATGGCACCTAACTCTGACCTGGATTTGCAATGGCGTGGTGAGTTGGTCAGGGGAAGATTTCTGGAGGAAGTGACATTCAAGCTAAGACCTGACTATGGAGTAGGAGTTACAAAAGGTCTGGAGGATTCTGAG